TCTATATCGCCCTCAGATTGGACAACTTTAGCTACTCATTCGATAGACACTCCATTGGTTTCTGTTGTATAGTTTATATTTATATATCGAAGATCTAATGTATTCACATGAAGCAATTTACAAAGTAATGTATTTAATTTATATCGATGGTGAATTTGAGTACTCTATTATTATTCATTCATACTATTCAACTGTTTATAATTACAACTTGTATAATCAATATAAGAAATCAAATATCTGTATTCTAATGCCGTTATAAATATTAAACATTTACAACATTAGAATTCTGTAGAATTCTAACGTTGTCCTTCGAAAATAAACGCTCTTTAGTACTAATAAACTAGCACATTAGATATCGATCTGAATTCATTCTTCAAGCACCCTAAATAAAATAGTCAAAGTCATATTTTTTCTTAAATGTGTAGCTGAGAAAAAATTAGACATTATAACTGATATTCTGCATCAAACAAAATCAGCGTGTTGGTTAGTAATACAGTTGTGCTCATATGAATATAACAGTCATATTGCAATTCAGTTGCTGACTAATCTGATACCATAATTGATTCATAACTACATTAGTTTTACTATGGCTTCTAACAGTAACGATAATCATCGTGTTACAAGTAGAAATGTATCAAGCCAATTTTTGATTCCAACAACATCAAATACACCACCATCTTATACATCGTATTCATCTACGTTTATGAATGATAGTCCACGACGAAGTCCTCGTTTATCATCAAGATCGCCTCAAGTTACTCCAAAATTATCGAATCAATCAATTATTCATCGAGTTGTTTCTGGTGGTGTGACGAATAGTCGCTCACCAAAAATGAATATTCGAAAAAAAAGTTCTACAAGTAGTCGACGTGATGATTATTCAAATATTGCTTCAAGAATTATATTGAACGATGATGTTAATATGTCCAATCCAAATGATAATAATATTGTTTGGAATTTCAATCTACCAGCTGATCAATCAGATGATGAAGAAGTTGGACTTAGTAACAATACTAATACAATTGTTTCACCAACAGCACCACGACCATTAACTCGAGCAGAAGTTTTATCATATTTCGAACAACAATCTGATGGATATAAATGTAAACTTTGTGAAAAAGTAAATATATCAGTGCTGTCACATTTTGAAATTCGAAAAGCAGAAAATACTTTGCAAAAAGCAGAAAATAACAGAAGTTTTATCATCGAAAAACAGAAAAACAGCAAAAAATATGTTTATGATAGAAAGATAACAGGTAGCTCGTAATAAAAGAGAATCCCAGTATTTTGTTAACATCTTAAGCGTTATCTTATCGCTCACGCTTTATTTTTTTTTATTAAAAGATTCACCATATTCTTCTGCGCAAATTGCATATTTCGTTGTAAAAATACTTATCTCCTTCTCTTTCGACATCATCATGATTTAAAAACAGCACTACACACAATTTTCAGAATCTCTATTTTTTTCAATTTTTTCCAAAAACATCCAGTCCTTAGATTAGTCTTATTATGATTGGTCGTTCTATATTCTTTATCCAGAAATAAAATAAATTGCCTTTGGTACGTTGATTGAAATGAACCAATTTATCTCTGGAGTGGCGAACAAATTATACCCAAACTAACAAGATTAATTGAGAAACTAGACATTTTGGAAAAAAATTGAAAAAATGAAGACTTTCGAAGTTGTGTGTAATGCTTGTTTTAAATCATGATGATGTTGAAAGAGAGATAAGTGTATTTTACAGCGAAATATACCAATTTCTGCAGAATCAGACGGTGAATCTTTTGATAAAAAAAATAAAGTGTGAACGATAAGATAATGCTGAAGATGTTAACAAAATATTGAGACCTTCTTTTATTACGAGCTACCCATTAATTTTAAATTTTATTTTCAGTATACTAATCACTCGCTTTGTATGGCATCACAAAACACAACTAATTAACAAATAGACAGAATAATTGAACACGTTTTCTTCTTTTTAAAGAGTATTCTTCATCTGATTTAAGAGCTTTCGACAAATCTTTTTTAACTAACAAATATTTATCCATTACAGTATATGATAAGGAGAAATTCAAAATAATCGTTGATTAAATCATAGCATTTAAAATTTTTTTGTTTCTTATTCTCCATAGGATTATCAATATTAGCTTTTTATTAGCAATGTTGGGAAAATTGTTGATGACGAACGATAAATGTTAGTTGAGACGGATCAAATTTATGTTCTTTTAAAGATTATTAATATTCGACGGCTTTAAACTGTTCTCTGTTGAAGATAACTCTATTCAATTTCTGCTTTCCGGTTTGGCTCCTGATGACATAATTATTAAATCAGCAACTACCACTGCTTTGTAAATACCTTCTTTGCTAGTCGAGCTGCCGTTAATATCTAGAGCTGTTTTTTCTATTTTTTTCCTCTCACTGATCATATTAATTATTCATGTTCATTGAGTAAACAAACGAAAGAATATATATGTTGATGTATATGAATTACATGAGTAATTAAAATGCTATAGAAAGCCAAAGGTAAAGAATTGATTTAAAGCCAAATATGTGGATTGGTAGCTGTTTTTAGTCAGTAGAAAATAAAAATCATCTGTACCAAATAGAAAGAATTAGAATGGCACAAAAATATCAGTAGTTTTTGATACAGTTTTTTTTAGTAATGATGGGAACGAAGGTATTTCAGGTGAAAAATGTTGATTGAAATGATAAATGACGCCGTATCAAAAAAAGCAGAAACGACAGAAAAAAAACGGAAAAAACTTCAAAAAGCAGAATTTTTCTGCTAAAAGCAGACGAGGTGGCAGCTCTGAAATATATTTCCAAATCACATTAGATATGACACTTATGTCAGTATAAGATTCTAGGGGGCTAGAACTTTTATTATGTATATATTACATTTTACGAATAATTTTTCTTTTGACACAGAAATAATCGCTGTAGGACTGACTGGACATGAATTCTTAGTATGCTTTTTTTATGTGCATACCTTTTATAAAATAGAAACTTCATCTACTTATTCTCAAAAAAATATTTTAAGAAGTAGTTTTTTAAATACTTTCTTAAGTTTGTATTTAATACGATGAAAACCTCAACAAATAGATTTATGTTCAAAATCAAATTGAAACTTAACAATGGAGAGTTCATTCCTCAAATACGTATAGATTTCAAATGTTATATACATTTTCTATTCTCTATAAATCAAACAAGACATAGCTACAATAATCACGTACTTTATTCTAAACAAAAGAAAATAATTTTACTTCACATACACTCATGGAGACATTATTCATAATGACAGGTAAATGCAACTTTTCGTATCGAGAAATAGATCTCTATCTCGAATGATATGCACTGTAGTGTTTTAATTATGACAAATCACTCACACTTCAAAACTTCGAGCACAGTAGTTTGTCTAAATGCATGCCGCTGTATTCCGCGCATACACTCTCAAACTTTAAAACATTTAATCAGACAAGCTGCTTCAAGCGTCTATGCTGCATTCATTCGCTAGAATGTCTAAAATCAGTCATTCGTTGATTTTCGCATGTTTAAATGGGGTGGTTGATGTGTCTTTTTTGAGATTGCTAGTCGTCTTTATTAGACATTTTATGTGTAAACGAATGATCGGTTTTCAATCCGTAAGCAAACTACACGCAAAACACACACTTGAAGCGCCTATCGAGGCGCTTAGCAATTCTTAGAATATGTTTATTAGATAAATGGATATTTTCAGATTCTACGGATCTTTTCTTAGAATTAGGTCACTGTTGCAATATGCAGCTGTTCATATATTCTTATCGACTGTGTGTTGATATATGTGGATATTAGCGCTGCTGTTCATTAACCGATTAGTGAAGACTTATTGCTATCCCATGACACTAGTTCACCTGTCTATCAAAACTGAAAAGAATAAATAGCTTAGCGAACAGGTTCATATCTGTTTCTTTATTCGTAATAAATGGCAACTGATACTGGAGACTGCTTCAAAATCAGTTATTTAAATCTTCTTTCAGACTGATGTAAGACCCATATGAAAATGAAGCTCATGTGGTCTCTTTTTTTTTAATTTCATAGAAAAAATTCAGACGAGTCAAAAAAGGTACGAGAAATTTGTTTCAAAATTCCACATCTAACTTGTACAAATGGAAGTATTAGAATATCACACGGCTAGATTATTAACAGAAATCTTAAACAGAGAAAGTTGTTTTCTTCTTTTTATAGGTTTATAAAGCAGCAAAAAACAGTGATTCTAATCTTCGAAAACATTTATCATCATCTCATCAAATTTCAAATGTACTATATAAATCTCAAATCAATGGTCATTCAAAATCTATTTCAACAACAATATCATCTGATCGAAAAGATGAATTACATAATGCAGCTATTAATTGTGTAATTGAAGATGGTCTTCCATTTGATACATTTGGACGACCAGGCATGTCTAAATTTTTATCAACTGCTGTACCTGGTTACGTGGGTCCAAATCGTAAGACTGTTCGTAAACAAATAGCAACATCATATTCTTTATATACGAAAAAACTTCGTGCTTTGATGCCTAAACTTGATTTTATTGCACTTACTTCGGACTTATGGAAAAGCTCCAACCAAGTTCATTTTATTTCATTAACTGCTCATACATTTACTCATCATTACGAACATGTATCAATAGTTCTTGGTTTTCGTCGCGTTATTGGACCACATTCATCAACATTAATTGAAAATTATATTCAATATGAACTTGATCGACTTGGCATACAGCCACAACAAATCATAAGTATTACAACTGATAATGGCAGCAATATGAAAAAAGCTGCAGCAACACTTAGATTTGGCAATCCAATCAGCTGTATGGCACATAATTTAAATCTAGTTGTTAGTAAAGGTCTTTGTCTTTGGTCTGAACCAAAACAAGATAAGTAAGTATGTTTTGTATCTATTAAGTCGAAAACAGTTCTTTTCCCGAACGTTTTGTATGTGCTTATTAACTAATATAAGATGAAAATGACTTGTTTCTAACTAGTAGCAAAACTCATAACTATTTTAGCTATATGTTGATAGTTCGTAAAAATAAAATTAATATTGATAATTTCAAAGGGATGTTGCATAACCATTCCTGTATTACTGATTACTCGATTACTTTTCATTGATTGTAACTTATTACTAATTATTAGTCATGTCTGTTTTTATTTTCTTTCTTTCCAAGTATCGTTAGCGTTAATAATCATAAAAATTACTTCCGCTACTTGATACTTTTTTTACTTGGAAAAGTTATTACTTCATCGCTAGTAACGGTACCGTAACACTTTCATTATTTCAAAGCCTCTGTTAACTCATAAAGGCTAAAAATGACTCAGCACACGAATCGCGAACTAACCCGTGATATAAACTTATCAGTTTACGCACTGTAGTCGATTTATTTTTAATACTGATGATGCTCGATGTAATCAACTAGATGATTAATATTAGTCGTCATCTTGTACACCGTTTAAAGTTCTACACTTCAAGCAGTATTTGTATCGTGAATCTTTGATTTCACAAAAAAAGAGTTTCAGCAAAAAAGTTTAAATTTTAATCAGGTTTTAATCAGCAAAGATACCTATGAGCATAGTTGATTTACTGAAAAAATAATTTTGGAATTCAATACCATTTTATTTAACACCTTCTTCTTCGACTAACTGTCAAATCTTAAGCTAGTAGATATTTAAAATCTGTGTGTCGAAATCGCACAAGTCTCTCTGTTAATGAACAAAGTTCATCAATTTTTTGCAAAATACTGAATTCAAAAATAACTTCCGAGTAACGATCGGCAACTGAACTCGTCTAAATTAGTGCAAGAAACAAAAAAACCTTACTTAGCATATCGTATAGGTGATGATGACTAGTAAAAACCTTGGCATAGCTTTGACAGGATTAGAATGAGATGATTGATAAGTGCGATTCTGAAATTGTGACTGTAGGTTAATATCTCATTGCAATGAAATTCTGTCTTTTGATGATTAACTACTAAAAGTATAGCAAGAGAAGATTTATATGGTATCTGAGGTTTGCGATGTATGAATCTATGGCTGCGATATAGCTATGAAAGGTTTTTAGTGAAAAAATTAGTTAGCTATACGTAATTGTGTCTATAACCAAGACGTAATCTTTCTCGATTTTAGATATGAGAATGATCTCAAATTCGTAATATATTTAATATATTTTATTGTACTCAAGTTTTTGTTGTATTTTATAAATAGCCTTCTCATAAGTGTTGTATCTTTTCTTTTTAGTTTTCCACTTGAAATTACATTGGATTTAGATGAATGGCAAGATATTGGTGGTGATTTAGATTATTCAATTGATACAATTGAATATGATGAAAGTTCAATTGATGCTGCTGCTGATTTTGTTAGCGAAGAAGAAGATAATGTAAACAACGATGGCGAAACAAATATTTCTGGAACAATCAACATCGAAACAGATGGTGATAATGATGATGATATTGATGTTCAATTTTCATCATTGATATTAAATGATAAAAATTCATCGCCCATCGATCACTATGAACTACTTAAAAATGTTTTTGAACTAATGAAAAAAACGAGATTAATTGTAAAATTCATGCGTAATCATAATATTACCAATGAATATATTAAAAAATATATGTTGTCAAAAAATAATAATCGTAAAGTTGGTGGACTTGTTTTGGATATGGTAATTCGTTGGAACAGTTCATATTTATTACTTGATCGATTGGATAAACATAAAGACGTTGTTCATAGTATTTGTGCATTTCCAAATAGTATTATAGGTTTAACAGATCAACAAATCAAACGATCAAAAGAACTAATTCTTAATGAACACGAATGGGAATTAATATGTTGTTTAAAAAATGTTTTAGAACCATTCTTTAATGCAACAGAAGCTCTTTCAGGTCAAAATTATCCTACAATGGCTTTGTCATTTTATGTTTTTCGTCTTTTATTACATTATTTCGAATCTACTTCTAAGGATGACAAGATTACTGCTGCTTTAAAACAAAGTCTTCGATATTGGTTTAATATTCAATGTAAAGCAAAATTACCTGCAGGACAAATTGAAATCATGATGGTAAGAAGTCTTCCATAATTCATCTAGTTATTATGCTGACAATGAAATTGGTTGCATTTCCAATTAACCAGACTAGATATATTTAAGTCAAATCAAAGCTTCCACTGCTAAACTCACAAACTTAGTTTACAGTCTGTCATTGATATACACGAACCGAGATATTCGAGTTGTATGCCATTCTCAAAAAATATTAGATGAACATAATTCATAGTTCCTACAGAGCTTCTTTTGCTCTTTGTTTATGATCGCTAGATAAAACTGATCGAGTTGAATGGAAAAAAATATCTTTCGAATAAAAAAGCATGTTACGAAAAGCGCCAAGATACCACCGTTTTCACGTATAAGAAAAGATAGGCCTGAAATCCTGAATTCTGTAAAAAGTTTTTTTTTTCTTTGAAAAGTACTTGTTCTCACACAACTCAGGCCCCATTCAAAGATTATAAAAAAACAGCAAAAAACCTATGTTGAAACTTTGAATTGTAAGCATCTTATACATACTTCTAAGTGCCTTAAAATTCGAATATCTTGGTTATTGTACGTCAAAAGTAGACTATATGTTAAGACTGTTAGACCAGTAGTGAAAGCTGACTTTTGACTTGAATAGATTGGGTGCTCTTAATTAAAGATACAATCATCTTTATCCTAAAAATCGAATGCAATAGTTGAATGAACAAAATACTTCAAGTTAAAGCAAAGAATAGGTTTAAGTCTCGATTTTTTGATTTTTCTTTTAGTTTTTTGTAAGGAGGTGAGAGACCAATGGGTATGCTTTTCCTAATCATGGGAGACGAAACGGAGATTGCGAAACAAGCCCTATATTCATACAGTAAGTCTTGATAGAAGCCAAGAAGAGAAGATGCTAGACTCTTTTTCCAAGGTTTCACAAGAAGAAAAACCACTTAATGATATTCAATACAAAACTTAGACTATTCTAAGAAATTTTGGAAAATTTCAAAATCTTTCTCGAACTTAGAGTGCTTAGAATACTTTTGTGAATGTTCTAAATAGCGCTTTTTACGATTTTCATCCAGACCAAAATTTATATTCAAATTATCAAGAATGATATGCTGTAATGTATCGCTTTACTAATCATTATATTACCAGTATAAAAAGCATGAAATGATAAAGTTAAAACTTTAGTGATGAATCATTTTTAATGCTTTCGAGATTATTAATATATAAAGTAGAGCGTTGGAATCCACAATAAAAATAATTAGTTGTCTACAACAGTCTTATTAGTCAGTTAAGTAAATATAAAATGAAGCGTACGAGGAAAAAAATCGAAAAGGTTACGGTCTGGAATACACGAACAAGCAAGACATATCCTTTCCCTAGTGATTAATCATCTTCGAACAGCAACTGTGAGCTGCAAAAGATTTTTCTCATTAATACATTTTTTACTATCAAGGAAGTTGTATTGACAAAATTTTTTCATATTGTATTCAAACCAATACTAAAGAACTGTTTCTTTTTTAGTTTTTGCTTATTCCATAGTTGTATCTAATTTTCATTTTCATTCTAGGTAGCTGCATTTTTAGATCCTGCCTTTTACCGAAAAATGAATGATAATGATCGTAAATCAGCTAAAAAATTGATTTTCAAAAAATTAGATAAAACAAATAATAGTCATCCTACTTCAACGTCATTATTAACATCACCATCACCACCAACAACAACAACAGGTAAACGAAATGCACTTGAAAAATTGGCAGCTGTCTGTGGCTATACAATTTCTTTGGCAACAACAACTAAACAGTGTATGAGTGTAGATGAAGAAATTAGCTGTTATATTAAGGCAGCACAAACTTCAAATGATTTCAAAGAATTTTGGACTACAAATAGTAAACAATTACCACGTTTAGCAAGTCTTGTACGTCGTGTAAATATTATACCAGCTACTTCAATGAGTAGTGAAGCTCTATTCAGTGTAGCCAGCTTTCTCCATCGAAAGCAACGTTCATCGCTCTCGTCCAGAACACTTCGTTATCTACTTGTTCTCAAAAATCGAAATGTTCTCGAGAAATTCGAGTAGCAAGTGTATTTGTTTTTCCTATGTTTCTCATTTGCAGTTATCATTTTTTTGTTACGATGAACTTTAGGTATTATTCCATTTGAACTCTTCCTAATACTTTATTATTCTTTATGTTGTTTTCAGTTGAGGGAAATTCTTGGCATATTTCAATGGGTTCTATTCTTTTCCGTAATTGATATT